GGTGGAGAAGGATCTGGGAGTTCTGGTAGATCACAAAGCTTAAAAATGGCATGCAATGCCAAGCTGCAGTTTCTAAAGAGAGCAAAAGCCTCTCTTGTATTAAGAGGTATAGACTCCAGAGAGAGAGATATCATATTACCCCGGTACAAATCATTAGGAACACCTCATCTGGAATATGCAGTTCAGTTTTGGGCACCAATTCACAAAAAGAACATTGGGGAACTGGAGAAAGTACAGAGCAGGGCAACCAAACTGATAAGAGGCATGGAGGAGCTCAGCTATGAGGAAAGATTAGAGGAACTGAATTTATTCTCTCTTGAGAAGAGGAGATTAAGGGGGGATATGATCAACATGTATAAATACATCAGTGGTTCATATAGTGAACTCCATGTAGAGCTATTCACCCTGAGGTCATCAGAGGACAAGGGGCACTCTGTCTGGAGGAAAATAAATGTAATCTCCAGACACAGGTTTCTTCACAGTGAGAGCTGTGAAAATGTGGAACAGACTCCCTCAAGAGTTGGGCTGCTTGAAGTTCTGCTTTTGTCATAAACCTGTAAATTACAGTGCCTTGAAAAAGGATTCATACCCCTTGAAATTTTTCACTTTTTGTCATGTTACAACCACAAATGTAAATGTATTTTATTGAGATTTTATGTGATAGACCAACACAAAGTGGCATATCACTGTGAAGTATAAAGAAAATGATAAATGGTTTTCAACATTTTTTACAAATCTGTGAAAATTATGAAGTGCATTTGTATTCAGCCCCCTGGAGTCAATACTTTGTAGAACCACCTTTTGCTGCAATTACAGCTGCAAGTCTTTTTGGGGATATCTCTACCAGCTTTGCCATCTAGAGAAGGACATTTTTGCAAGATAGCTCAAGCTCTGTCAGATTGGATGGAGAGCGTCTATGAACAGCAATGTTCAAGTCTTGCCACAGATTCTCAATTGGATTTAGGTCTGGACTTTGACAGGGCCATTCTAACAAAATGGATATGCTTTGATCTAAACCATTCCATTGTAGATCTGGCTGCATGTTTAGGGTTGTTTTTCTGCTGGAAGATGAACCTCCACCCCAGTCTCAAGTCTTTTGCAGACTGTAACATGTTTTCTTCTAAGATTGACCTATATTTGGCTCCATCCATCTTCCCATCAACTCTGACTAGCTTCCCTGTCCTTGCTGAAGAAAAGCATCCCCACAACATGATGCTGCCACCATGTTTCAAAGTGGGGATGGTGTGTTCAGGGTGATGTGCAGTGTTCATTTTCCGCCATACATAGCATTTTTCTTTTAGGCCAAAAAGCTCAATTTTGGTCTCATCTGACCAGAGCACCTTCTTCCACATGTTTGCTGTGCCCCCCACATGGCTTCTCGCAAATTGCAAATGAGATTTCGTATGGCTTTCTTTCAACAATGACTTTCTTCTTGCCACTCTTCCATAAAGACCAGATTTGTGGAGTGCACGATTAATAGTTGTCCTGTGGACAGATTCTACCACCTGAGCTGTGGATCTCTGCAGCTCCTCCAGAGTTACCATGGGTCTCTTGGCTGCTTCTCTGATTAATGTTCTCCTTGCCTGGCCTGTCCGTTTAGGTGGACGGCCATGTCTTGGTAGGTTTGCAGTTGTGCCATGCTCCTTTTTTTTTTTTTTTTTTTTTTCGGATGATGAATTAAACAGTGCTCCGTGAGATTTTCATAGTTTGGGATATTTTTTTATAACCTAATCCTGCTTTAAACTTCTCCACAACTTTATCCCTGATCTGTCTGGTGTGATCCTTTGGCCTTCATGATGCTGTTTGTTCACTAATGTTCTCTAAAAAAATGTCTGAGGGCTTCACAGAACAACTGTATTTATACTGAGATTAAATTACACACAAGTGGACTCTATTTACTAATTAGGTGACTTCTGAAGGCAGTTGGTTCCACTAGATTTTAGTTAGGGGTATCAGAGTAGAGGGGGCTGAAAACAAATGCATGTCATGCTTTTCAGATATTTTTTAAAAATGTTGAAAACCATTTATCATTTTCCTTCCACTTTACAATTATGTCCCACTTTGTGTTGGTCTATCACATACAATCCCAATAAAATATTTACGTTTTTGGTTGTAACATGACAAAATGTATAAAATATCAAGGGGTATGAATACTTTTTCAAGGCACTGTATCACATTGCTGCATGTTACCCAATTCCATACAGTCTACATCGTGTGTTCTGTAACCAGTTACTGCTGAAGCTGTTAATTTAGGTATGTCAATGCTATCTGTAATGAGCAGATATAGCTGGTCCCAAGATCATATAACATTGCAAAATATATGGAAGGATTTATTTTTAATATGCATTGATAATTTTTGTAAAAAAAAATGAAAAAAATGATAGATATATATATATATATATATCTACTTGCCAACAGCCCTAAGTCTATATACTGTGGGGCGGCGGCTGTATTGCATTTCTACGTAGGGGGCTCATGCCAGCCACCCCAGCTGTGCTGTCATTCACCACAGCACAAGCTGGTCAGCGGATCCTGGCTAATGATTTAAGGTTGGGACCCACTAATCAGTCAAGTGACTGACAGACAAGAGCCTTGTGTTGGTAAACAAAACAGGGCTCTCTGAGTGTAGTGATGTGGCTGTTTTTTTCTTCCCTACAAAGCAGGGAGTAAAAAACAGTCACATTGTTTGTTTATTAAAAGCAGCACATAATGCACAATTTACACATTGATAGGCACAATATATAAACCCTTTTGATTGCCCCTAGATGTTAACCCCTTCCCAGCCAGTGTCATTAGTACAGTGAGTGTCTAGTAATAGCACTGATCACTGTATTAGTGTAACTGGTGATGTCAGTGTCAGCCAGTTCCCACAAAGTGCTCGTGTCAAATTGCCCACAGCACAATTACAGTCCCACTATAAGTTGCTGATTACCACCATTACTAGTATTAAGAAAAAATTTCAGTGTATATATACCATAGTTTGTAGATGCTATAACTTTAATGCAAACCAATTAATATATGCTTATTGGGATTTTTTACCAAAGACATTTTTTTTTTTTTCTTTTTTTTTTCTTATTTTTATTTGATATGTTTTATAGCAGAAAATTATTTTTTTTTTCAAAATGTTCGGCCTTTTTTCATTTATATAATGAAAAACCAGTAATGACCATGTACCATCAAAAGAAAAGCTCTGTGTGAAAAAATTTATATAAATTTCATTTGGGTACAATGCTGCATAACTGCACAATTGCCAGTTAAAGTAGCAAAATGCCTAATAGAAAAAAAAGGCCTGGTCATGAAGGTCGTCCAGAGCTTAGGCGGATATATAATCCTCTTGCAGCCAATACCTAGGCCTGAGCACTGTCTCATGTCCTAGTTAATGACATCACTGCCATCATTAGCTGAGAAAGGAGAGAAAAAGGAGCAATGGCAAAATGGGTATAAATGGGGTTGGGATTTCCAGAGACTGTGTCACTTTGCATGGTGACAGTGGCTCTTTAAGGTCTTGTTCTTAAACCACCAACCACACATACTCCAGCACAACTAATTTGGCTCCTCGTGCTGCATCTCTCTCATACACTCTGGCCCTGCTGTACTGGGACTGCAAGGGTCTGATACCATGTCAAACTCGGGTACTTACACTTCTTGCATATAAAAAGTACATTTAGGGTCCATACACAGAAAAAAAGCTCATATACAGACATTTAAGAACATTTTAGTGTCCTTTTTTTTCTGCCAGAAAACGCCTCTCAAAAACACAAACCAGAAGGGTTTTTTTTCTGCCTCTAAACACTGAGCTTAAAATATGCCTTTAAACGTCCTAATGTGTATCTACACATAGGATAACATTGAGCTACTTCTACAGGCAAAACCAAAGCATTTTTTAAAGTGTTTGTTACTAAACCCACAACAGTAAAATCAGTCTGTATATGCAGTAAAGCATGCTTGTTATACTCAATGTGGAACCTAAGGAGTTAATCCCCTGTATTGTGTAAAAATGCTGTTTGATCCGGACTTTTCTAATCCGCCTCTTCTACCAGTGTCTCCATCTTATCTCTTGATAAGACACATTGTGTGGAGACACTCTGCACTGCTCAGTTTGGTGTGTATTGCTAGAGGGTTTTTTTTTTTTTTTTTTATATTGGGAGAGTGCAAGTGATCATCACAGGGCCAATCAGCACTGTCTAGACAGAGGTCAGGAGTTCTGCATCCCCCTAGAGCAGAAAGAAAACTCCTCCTATAAGCTTTACCAGTGCTCTGCTGACCACTGATAGAAGTCACAATACTGATCTAACCGCTGATGAGAAAAGGAATTTAGCAGTTTATATTACTAAAATTGCATTTCCATGTTGTGTGTACTGTGGGAGACCAGATATAGTGAATGCAGAGTCCAGGGTTTAGTAACACTTTAAGCCAATGTGCATGGACCATCATTAATGAAAACAAAGCCACATTCAATTGTGTCTTTTTATATCCAGCTGGAAGTCGGCTTTAACAACAATCTTATCTCTTTTACAGGTATATATAAGAAAACATTGAAACAGACAACTCATTCCTTTTTAAGGATTAGAATAGCTAGTACAGATCTCAGTTCTGCTGAAAGCTTCTTGCCATTGATTAGGAAGAAAGGATGTACCAGATAGTCACTTGGCTCTGTTCATAACCTTTGGGAACAGTATATTGCAATATGCTGGTTCCGAAACGCACATATAGCAAACATTTGATGTTTGACAGCCCTCCAAATCGGGAAGCTACAGAATGTTGCTAGACGTGCAGATCATTAAAGGTCGTATTATCTACAGTTTCTATCAACAGAGTCTGCTAATAGACTATTTTCTGACTTTTGTTACTGCACCAGCCTCTAATTAGATCTGCAATGTTATGAATGTGATTACCGGGTAGCATTAGGGCTTATTATATATCATTAAGCTTTGTTGTTGCTCTGAGTTGATGTTTACAGCAAACTTTGGCTGTCAGTTTTCACAGAATAATTCTTCTCTGCAGCTGAATTACCTCCTCCGTACACAGCCATTGCCAGCCCAGATGCCAGTGGAGTTCCCGTAATAAATTGCCGTGTGTGCCAGTCTCTTATTAATTTGGATGGAAAGCTTCATCAGCATGTCGTGAAGTGCACAGTCTGCAATGAGGCCACGGTAAACAGAATATTTCATATAATGATCTAACTCAAAGTATATGGGAATACTTGGGGAATTGCTTTCTCTGGTTGTGAAATTATTGACTGGAATATTGAACATAATTTGTAAATCTAGGACCCAGTAAGTGTGAGTATTAACTAACCTTGGCTAAAACTTACATTAAATCAAAGAAATCAAACTGAAAGAGAGAGAGAGAGGCTACTCCTAATAGAAGCTGGAGGTACGCTAAGGCTACATTAACACTAGCTTTGTCAGCAGGCGTTTGGATTGAAATTTCTGCACATGGCAGCACACAATGCTGTTCACACTGAAGCGTTAGCGCCGCGTCAAAACTGACGCCTCATGTTGAGTCAAGAGTTGAAACCTTCCATTCAAGTCTATGGTGCCGCTCCTCAAACACCTGGCAGGCATTTGCGACGCGTTTGCGGAGCGTTAATACCATTTAACTTCATTATAGGCATTTGTGGTGCGGTTTTAATGCTTGGTAAACGCCTTTCAACTGCCTCAAATCCGCGCATAGGGCGTTTGGGGAGCGTTAAAAACGCTTCACAAACGCCTGTCAAATGCTATAGGGGTGTATGACAAGAATTAGAAATAAAGTCAAGTGTGAACGAGCCCTTAGATGCACTTTTCATATAAAGATAACATCGCTATAGATCTGTAGCAGTGAATTTATAAATATGGTGTGCAAAGTTTGAGAACGTTTTCAAAGCTGACACAAGCTATTTCTTGCTATTGGCGAGTGCAGGTTGTTTATGCAGCTGCAAAATTAAAGTGGCACTATGGGTAATATTACTGATATGAGGCAGTCAGTCATAGAATCCTTTTTTAACATGGATTAATTACCTGTTGATCCTGCCAGTAGATCCATTGTTTTACCATTTCTTTCTTAGGAAGGTGACATTGTTTATTGCCCTACACCAGTGCTTCTCAATTATTTTCTGTCATGCCCCCCCTAGGAAGAAGAAAACATTTTGCGCCCCCCCCCCCCCCCCGCGCGACTGTAAATAGTATCATTTGTCTATAAAATTGTTATAAGTAGGAATAGTGCCCCATCATTGGTGTCAGTGGGAGGAATAGTGCCCCATCATTGGTGTCAGTGGGAGGAATAGTGCCCCATCATTGGTGTCAGTGGGAGGAATAGTGCCCCATCATTGGTGTTGGGAGGAATAGTGCCCCATCATTGGTGTCAGTGGGAGGAATAGTGCCCCATCATTGGTGTCAGTGGGAGGAATAGTGCCCCATCTTTGGTGTCCGTGGGAGGAATAGTGCCCCATCTTTGGTGTCAGTGGGAGGAATAGTGCCCCATTTGGTGTCAGTGGGAGGAATAGTGCCCCATCTTTGGTGTCAGTGGGAGGAATAGTGCCCCATCTTTGGTGTCAGTGGGAGGAATAGTGCCCCATCATTGGTGTCAGTGGGAGGAATAGTGCCCCATCGTTGGTGTCAGTGGGAGGAAAGTGCCCCATCGTTGGTGTCAGTGGGAGGAATAGTGCCCCATCGTTGGTGTCAGTGGGAGGAATAGTGCCCCATCGTTGGTGTCAGTGGGAGGAATAGTGCCCCATCGTTGGTGTCAGTGGGAGGAATAGTGCCCCATCGTTGGTGTCAGTGGAAGGAATAATGCCCCATCGTTGGTGTCAGTGGAAGGAATAATGCCCCATCGTTGGTGTCAGTGGGAGGAATAGTGCCCCATCATTGGTGTCAGTGGGAGGAATAATCCCCCATCATTAGTATCAGTGACACCAATGATGCGGCACTATTCCTCCCACTGACACCAATGACACTTGCTGACCCCTGTTGCAGTATGGTGCTGCTGCAGCCAGCATATGTGGTTGCAGCAGCACCTCTGCACTGCACACTTACCGGCTTTTCCCTGACTCGATTTTCGTGGGTCTGCTCGGCTCCGCCTCCTCGCCCATGATTGGCCGCCTGTGTACCTTTCCTGAGCTACAGTTCTGGCGGCCAATCACCGGTGAGGAGGCGGAGCCGAGCGGCAGGAGTGAGGGAGTGGCCGGAGTGACGGAATGAGCAGCGCTTCCTGGATGGATCATCGTGGGAGCCAGGTAAGAGACAGCAGCCCTCTGCCCACCCCTGTACGCGCCCCCCTTGACGGAGCCTCGCGCCCCCCCCTGGAAGCACTGCCCTACACTGACGTCGGCAGTCATTTCACCTTTGAAACAGAGCAGTCTAAGGCTCCATGTGCACTGCAGCTGATAAATCATGTTTAGGAGCTTTTCTGCATTTTTTTTTCAGCAGCCCCTGAAGTCTGCCTAATGTTTTCCTATGTGTCCATGTACACTATGTCGTTTTACAGGCCGTTCAGTTTACAGTCATTTCTTTGAACGCACCAAACATGCGTTCAGGAGTAGATTTTATCTGCGTTTCAAATGCCAAATGCTTGTAAACGCGGCTAACCGTGTTTATAAGCGCTTGCATTTGGAAAGTTTTTTTTTAACTCTTCCATTTCCAGATGCTGTCCAGAGCCTTTTTTTCCATCATGAAAAATACATGCAAAGCATTTTCCCGGTACTCAAATGGACCTGGTACACCATACTTTGAGGTTTCGCATGAAAGAAAATGTTAGACACTGCTGCAATAATTTCTGCACAGAAATGAGCTGGAACACATCCAAACACCACAAAAAAAAAAAAATACCGGTAATCTCAACAAATACTGCTCTCTTTGCTTCTGCTCTATTTCTCTAAAAATTTCTGAAATCGTTAATTTTTACTATTGCATTCTGGGCATTTTGGAAGGTCTCCTGAGGTTATCTTTAAAAAAAACACTTCTAAACGCAAATGCTCATAAACGCGGTATGCAAATGCGGCTAAACAGATGTTTTTAAACCTACGGTTTCCAGCAGTCAGTTTCCATTGTTCAGAAGTGTCCCGTGTACATGGAGCCTTATATAGACATGTACTCTTAACTAGACCTAAAGTAAATGACAAACAATTGACTGCCCAACTGCAGTTAAAGGAGAGCTATAGTCAAAACTTTTTTTCATTTTGGACAGAATAATGAAGGGTTATAATGCCTGCCAGGTTTTCTTTGCCATCTGTGTCCCATCGATGAGATTTCCCTTCACTTTCTGTCTAGTAACTTAAAAAGGAAGTGAGAAGAAATCTCTTCAAAGTGAGGGAAGGCCTGATTGTCACCAGATCTAGTGTCCCCATTGGAAGATTTCCCCTCTATTCCTGTTCTGGGGACATCATTAAATACAACTATACATAGAGAGATTCACTCTCTAATGGGGGTACAGAGAGCAATTAAAACTGACAGGGGTTCTCACCCCCCTCCACTCTATCCAAAACTAAAAAAAAAATTGCCTTTAGTTATACTTTGACATTTTAAAGCTAGACTTTAGCTTTAAAAGAAAATAAAAATTACTGCAGCTTTAGTTACATTACTTACCAGTAGTGAAGGATGTCCTACATTGTGCAGGCAGCTGGATCCTGGCTAAAACTTCACTGCAGGTGTGCCCCATCCTTTTCCTGTCTCTGAATTTCTAGCACTGTAGTGGTTAACAGCTTTGGGTCTTCAGAGAGAACAGCGGTACAGATGGCCCAACAGGCTCAGCCGCATGTCTTTACCACCCCTCAACCGCAAGCATAAACAAGGCCTTAAAGTGGTAGTAAAGTCTCTTGGGGGCAGGGAGATTTCCCCCCTGCAAGGCAATACCATAATGTGCTAGTATGCAATGCATTGCATACTAGCACATTATGAAATATTTGCTTAAACCGAAGCCCTCCAGCGGCACAGCCGTCACAGGGCTTCCATCTTTACCTGGTCCTTCTGGGTTTGCAGGCTCCAGTCATCTGACTTGACAAGCCTCGATGACGTCACTCCCGTGCATGCCATTCCTTCACAGTGCATGAGCCGGTGATGTATTTGGCTGCTGCTCTCCTGGAATATCTCCTAGACAGTGTGCGGTTTAGGAGATATCCATTTTACATAATTGTTACAAAAAATGCACTTTACTACCACTTTAAGCTGGCTTCTCTATCTATAGAGGAGCAACAAGGACAACCCCTTCCAGTCTACAGCTGGGTGTACACCAGTAGGATTTTGGACAAAAATTCTTAGTTAAATTCTTAGTTAAATTCGTACAAGAATTCTCAGTACATTCAAATGTCATTTGGAAGTAGGTCAACATTTTGTTTTGTTTAGAACATCCAGTTTTGGAATGAATGGTCTTTACTGAGCAAAAGCCACATACTGTACAGTGTTAGAAATTTGTACATTCGAGAAAAATTTTCCATCCTGCTCTGAATTTTCTCATCACTACAGTCGAGAATGAATGTCAATTTGTCTCCACTAATGACTGGGAAAATGAACGAACGTTCTTATGATGAAAAATGTTGAACACAATTCTGCCTACTAGAGTATACCCAGCTTAAGACTTCCATACTGACCACTCTGATAACAGCTGTAGATGTAGAAGGCTTTATAATCTCTGTACAGTATGCTCGATGGGTAGTAATGGCAGCTATTTAGTATTCTAAAGTATAATTCAGAGTTTGTGGTTGAAAAAATCAATTAGGAAAAAATGTAAATGCATGTGTCATTTGGAAACTTGGGCAAAACTGTGTATCAGTTATTTCATTCCAGATTACATGGGTGCTTGTCTAGAGTACACACAACTGTATACTCTACATGAAAGCTGTCTGTTCACCATAATGTAATACGTTTCATAAATAACATAAATGCTTGAGAAGCTACAATGAATCCAATAAGGTCGCTAGTAGTAGATGTATGTTCTGCTGCAGCAGGCTTTACCACCACTATCTTAAAAATTATCATTGTTGTAATGCCATAAATCTTGTGATAATGATCTCTAAATGAGGGTTTTTTTATGCACCTTTTAGCCTGGGTTTACATATGTGCATTCCTGTGAAAATCACATGCGATTTTTGTGCGGTGCGATCGGAGCCAAACATTTTGTATGGCTCTAATCGCACCGCACCCGCACCAAAAAGGTGCAGGACCCTTTTTTTGGGTCCGCACTAGAATCGGATCACATGGGTATTCACACCTATGTGATCCAATTCTGCACATCGCACCGCGTTTTGCAGACCGCTTTCGGGGGGGTTAACACCTGCAGCGGTTCGCATGAACGGAGTGCAATTCTGATGCGGTATGGAATTCACACACAAAACACTGCAAATTCCGCACCGCGTCAATGTGACCCAGGGCTCATAGATATAGTTCGGTAAGTTATGAGCTGACCAAAAAACATTTATGTTTGTAGGCCCTAAGAGGCCGTCATCCTCCATTCTTGGAGGGAGGCGTCAATGGCAGATTTTTTAGCTCAACTCCATTTTCTTCCATAGGAACAAACATGCACATTTGGCTGTTGTAGAGGTGAATGTTTGTTCAACACACTTGTATATGAAAAAATCACATTTTCTATAAAAGGTTGCAGCCAAATCATGCTTGCAAAGCAGGCCTCCAGCTGCAACCTCTTGACAGTGATACAGTGCCTTAAAGTATTCATACCCCTTGAAATTTTCCACATTTTGTCATGTTACAACCAAAAACGTAAATGTATTTTATTGGGATTTTGTGATGGACCAACACGAAGTGGCACATAACTGTGAAGTGGAAGGAAAATGATAAATGGTTTTCAACATTTATTATAAATAAATATCTGAAAAGTGCATTTGTATCCAGCCTCTCTGACTCAATACTTTGTAGAACCACCTTTTGCTGCAATTACAGTTGCAAATCTTTTTGGGGATGTCTCTACCAGCTTTGCACATCTAGAGAGTGAAATTTTTGCCCATTCTTCTTTGCAAAATAGCTCAAGCTCTGTCGGATTGGTTGGAGAGCATCTGTGAAAAGCAATTTTCAAGTCCTGTCACAGACTCTCAATAGAATTTAGGTCTGGACTTTGGCTGGACCACATGAATATGCTTTGATCTAAACCATTCAATTGTAGCTCTGGCTGTATGTTTAGGGTCGTTGTCCTGCTGGAAAGTGAACCTCTGCCCCAGTCTTTTGCAGACTCTTAACAGGTTTACTTCTGTATTTGGCTCCATCCATCTTCCCATCAACTCTGACCAGCTTCCTGTCCCTACTGAAGATAAGAATCCCTACAACATGATGCTGCCATAATGGTGTGTTCAGGGTGATGTGCAGTGTTTGTTTTCCGCCACACATAGCGTTTTGCTTTTAGGCCAAAAAGTTCAATTTTGGTCTCATCTGACCAGAGCCCCTTCTTCCACATGTTTGCTGTATCCCCCACATGGCTTCTTGCAAACTGCAAACAGGACTTTTAATGAACAGGACTTTTAATTCAGCAATGGCTTTCTTCTTGCCACTCATCCATAAAGGCCAGATTTGTGGAGTTACATGACTAATAGTTGTCCTGTGGACAGATTCTCCCACCTGAGCTGTGGATCTCTGCAGCTTCTCCAGAGTTACCATGGGCCTCTTTGCTACATCTCTGATTAATGCTCTCCTTGCCTGGCCTGTCCATTTAGGTGGACGGCCATGTCTTGGTAGGTTTGCAGTTGGGCCATACTCTTTCCATTTCCGGATGATGGATTGAACAGTGCTCGTTGAAATATTCAAAGCTTGAGAGATGTTTTTTTATAACCTAACCCTGCTTTAAACTTCTAAGCAACTTTATCCCTGACCTGTCTGGTGTGTTCCCTGGCCTTCATGATGTTGATTGTTCACTAATGTTCTCTAACAAACCTCTGAGGGATTCATAGAACAGCTGTTTTTATACTGAGATTAATAAATTACACACAGGAGGACTCTATTTACTAATTGACTTCTGAAGGCAATTGGTTCCACTAGATTTTAGTTAGGGGTATCAGAGTAAAGGGGCTAAATACAAATGCATGCCACACTTTTCAGATATTTATTTGTAAAAAATGTTGAAAGCCATTTATCATTTTCCTTCCATTTCACAATTATGTGCCACTTTGTGTTGGTCTATCACATAAAATCCCAATATAATACATTTACGTTTTTTGTTGTTACATGACAAAATGTGGAAACTTTCAAGGGGTATGAATACATTAAGGCACTGTATAATATTTTTGCATTTAGATCTGTAAAAAACTATATTCTACAGATCTGAACGCAGCATTGTGCATTAACCCTTACTGAAAAGGACAGAAGTACAGATTGCTACAATATACTTGAGTATTTGAAGCCCTCAGAGAAAAAAAAAAAAAAAGAAGAAAATGAAATCTCTAGTCTGATAATTTACTATCTTCATTTCTTTACCTATGCTAGCATTGCCTTCCCATTTCTGGGTTGGATAATGCCCAGCGTCATCCAACCCCTTCCTCTTTGCTCATGTCTCCTGTAGCCCTCTGGATTCAATGAATTTCATCAAATGCATTCTGAGCTGATTGTGAGCTTATGGCAAGTGCAAATATGCCGACAAGCATTACCTGCCTCAAGCCCTCACAGAAAACATGGAAAGCTGGGAGTTAAAGCCTCAGAGGAGCTGCACATGTCACTGCTGGGTGACCTGAGAGGCACCATTTGAATTCACACAGACCAGCACTACAAGACCCAGTTAAATGAATGGGAAGGTAATGTGTGCACTACTTTACACTGGTTTTAAGGTATGAGGAGCTCAAAATAATGAGGGGTTAGAAACATCTTTTTTTTTTTCTTCATAAAATTGAAGTTTGACTTAGTTCCCACCTTCTACATATTTGATTCAAGTGCTTAAGCCTTATACATTGTTTAATTTATATCCCCTTTCAGCCAATCAAAACCCCTCCCTCGGGGAAGAAGTATGTCAGGTGTCCTTGCAACTGCCTCCTTATCTGCAAAGATACATCACGGCGAATAGGATGTCCGCGACCTAACTGGTACGTAATACTTCTCAAAAAAAAACAAAAAATGACTTGGTTATAAAATGTTTTGTTCACAGACTGGATCTCTTCGATTTTTAAATAAATGTATAAATTTGCATATGGTTTCCTTGCAGTCTTCTGGACTGAAGTGTTCTGAGAATGGATAATGGTTAAATTGCCATTTATACCATGCTGATACTATTAGCTTTTCTTCATGATAAAATTGAGAGAAACGTGCTTTCATGCTTTAGATATCGTGCTGCCCGGTTTCATTATTGTAATGTCTGTGGTTAATGCAGTCTATGGGGGATTAGCCTGATTTTCTGCCATCTGTGATCTGCATTTCTTAAGAGATCCCCTATGATACCTGTAAAGAAATTCCACTGTAGTACGAAATGTGGAGTTAGTTCATCCAAAAGCAATAGTTCTATTGTGAGATGTCCCAGGCTGATTCACATTCCAGCCTACACTAGTTCTCAGATTCCCTATGCTGAAAATTTCCCCCCACTGTGTGCCTCTAAATGTTCATTTACGGACATTGCAGCATACACGCTTCCTATTTGATGCCAAAAAGACCCACTGGCTATCTTAGACATGCCCATGGAATTCAGGGGTGTCGGACACTGCTTTTGTGTCCTAGGTGGTGCACACATCATCCATAGGGATAGTTTCAACTGGATGAGAGAGTTTTTATAGAGCCCATCCCCAGTGCATACTGAATGTTAGGATTCAGGAACTTCAGCTCACAGTATACATGTACATTGTATGTGGGTGATAATGTAAGCTGTATTATCCACTTATACAGTGGATAATACAGTACACAGTGGCCATTTTATTATACCAGATATTATTATTCAGAAGAGTGGGGATCTTGTTGTTCATCCCCTTATCCATTTACAGTAAGCCTTGTATTCTTTCCAGTGAATACAAGGCATTCTGTTAACGGATAAATAGAGAGATCGGGAAACAGGATCTCCCCTTGTCTGTTCACAGAGCACTTTTTATAAGGAATGTAATGTTAATTGTGAATAGAAAAAGGGAGAGAAAGGGGAGAGTAAACAACAAGATCCCTGCACCCTACTGTGGAGGGAACTGACAGCCAGTGCTCAAAAGAGCACTGTGAGCAATATCTATCAAGCATGAAACTGTCATTTGTGAAGTAACCGGCAGCATTGCGGGCATGGAATATGAATCATTAAGATAACTTGTTTACATGTGCAGTTTCCAAAACATATTTTTTTCTGGAGTTCCACTTTAATGAATGCCTAGGATTTGGGCTGTAGGAGTTCTATTAACACAGTGGAACCTATACTACATTCCTATATGAACCTGTAAGATCACAGTCATGTAGGGCAACAGAATCGCTAATCAACAATGTGGTCAGAACAAGCAGTTCAATGATGTTGTGCTGTAATCCGTTTTTGACTGTGGATTTCTATTCAAACGGACTTGAGAAATCCTCTATTTGACCAGGGCCTCTCTGTGAAATAACATATATGGTTCCATAATTCCAGCTGTCCCTATGTAAACCAAATATCACCAAGCTTTCGCCCTATATAAATCTGCTTTCTTAACATACAATTCCTCCCTCCATGCTGCCAAACAAGCCTACTTTGTCACTTTCATCAATAGCTTGTCATCCAGTCCTCATCATCTCTTCTCTCTCTACTTTTAACTCTCTACTTTCTCCACCTCCACCTAGTACCTCACTCACTGCTTACGAGATTAAAAAACAAGATTGATGCAATTTGTAGGGGCATCGCCACTGCACAGACATCCATCCCACTTAGCATACTTTATACTAAACCTCCCTCAACACTTTCCTCTTTTGACCTTGCTACTACCGAAGAGGTCACTAAGGTATTCTCAGAAGCCTGTCTCAATACCTGCCCCCTAGATCCTGTCCCCTCACAACTACTATGGTCACCCTCTTCTTCCATCCTATGCTCCCTCACTCACATCATCAATCTCTTCTCTAACGGTGCCTTCCCCTCCCCTCTAAAGCATGCACACATCACTCCCATAGGTAAAAAGCCCTCCCTGGACCCCACCAACATGAACAACTTAAGACCCATCTCCCTGCTCCCATTTACCTCTTAACTCTCAGAACACTTAGTCCATAATCGCCTGAGCTCTTACCTCACTGACAACAACCTTCTTGACCCTTTACAATCTGGCTTTCGGTCATTCCACTCCACTGAAACTGCCCTACTAAAACTCACTAATGATCTATTAACTGCTGAAACCAATGGCCACTACTCCGTACTCTTACTACTTGACCTCTCTGAGCTTTTGATACTGTTGACCATCCCCTCCTCCTCAAAAAACTCTGCTCTCTCCTGGTTCTCCTACCTATCGCAGCGCTCCATCAGTGTTACCTGTAACTCTGTCTCCTCCTCTCCACTTCCTCTTTCTGTAGGGGTCCTCCAAGGATCTGTCCTTGGACCCCTTCTCTTCTCCATCTACGCCTCCTCCCTTGGTCGCTTGATAGACTCCCATTGGCTTTGAGTACCATCTTTATGCTGATGACACACAAATCTATCTTTCTAATCCTCACCTCACCCCTTCAGTCTCCTCTCGCATTACTAACCTACTAATTGACATATCAGCATGGATGTCTTCTAGATTGTAAGCTCCACGGAGCAGGGCCCTCCTATCCCTCTTGTATTGAACTGTATTGTTGCTGTATTGTCTCCCTTATATTGTAAAGCGCTGAGCAAACTGTTTGCGCTATATAAATCCTGTATAATAATAATAATGTCACTCCACTTAAACTAAATCTTTAAAAAATAGATTTCATACTATTCCCTCCAGCCCGTGCCCCCTCCCCTGACTTCTCCATCAAGATCAATAACACATCCATCAGTCCCTCCCCCTCATGCCAGGGTACTAGGTGTAATCCTAGACTCCCATCTGTCCTTTCAGCCCCAAATCCAATCGCTGTCCAAATCTTGTAGACTTCACCTACGCAACATCTCCAAGATACGCCCGTTCTTAACCTTGGAAACTACTAAGCAACTTATTCACTCCCTTGTTATCTCTCGCTTGACTATTGTAACTTCCTCCTCATTGGCCCACCTCATCGCAGGCTATCCCCTCTTCAGTCTATCATGAATGCTGCTGCCAGACTCATCCACCTTACTAACCGTTCCGTATCTGCCATCCCTCTCTGCCAATCCCTCCACTGGTTGCCCAACAGATAAAATTCTAAACATTAACAATAACATATAAAGCCATTTATAACTCTGCCCCAAATTGCATCACCAATCTTGTCTCCAAATATCACCAAAACCGTACTCTCTGCTCCTCGCACGACCTCCTGCTCTCTAGCTCCCTTGTCTCCTCCTCCCATGCTCGTCTCCAGGGCTTCCCCCATCCTCTGGAACTCTCTACCCCAATTTATCAGACTGTCGCCTACTCTGCTAACTATTAGGCGATCTCTGAAAACTGATCTCGTCAGGGAAGCCTATCCTGCCCTCAGCTAATAATGGAATCTTCTATTCCTCCTACCAGTCCATCCCCCACAGTTACTACCTTTTGTACCACTAGCTCCTCTCTCTTAGACTGAAAGCTCCAAGGAGCAGAGCCCTCCTAACCCTCTTGTATCAAACTGTATTGTTCCTGTATTGTCTCCCGTTATATTGTAAAGCACTGAGCAAACTGTTGGTGCTATATAAATCCTGTATAATAATAATAATAATAACAACAACAACAACAACTGTGCTAAAAACCTACTGAAAGAAAAAAAATTCTACTTCTTAGAAACTGCAGCTCTTAGGTGATAATATTGGCTTATCTTTTATAGCAGACGTATCATTAATTTGGGCCCGGTAATGCTGATACCTGAAGAACAACCAGCCCAGCCTGCCCTCCCGGTTCAGCCAGAAGGTACCCGAGTAGTTTGTGGCCACTGTGGAAACACTTTTCTAGTAAGTTTTTTTATTTTAATTTCACCTATATATGTACTAACCTGGTCATGGGATGATTATATTCTAAAAGGTTATTTTTTATGGTTTTAAAGATAACAGGATTTTACATACTCATTATGTAAATATTAATATTGTAAAAAAAAATCTATAGTGGTGCCGAAGTGATGATGTGTAAACAGTAAACCAAAGGAACCATTAGGCTATATACTGTAGTCAAACCATAGAGTGGTTCTTGATTGGCTGTCGTACATTACTGCTCAATTGCTAATTATACTATCCTATTAAATACATCTGTTATGCTGGCCATACACACAATTTCAACCACTTCAAACAGACATTGATCAAGTGGTAGGTTGCCTTACTTTTTGCAAACATTAATAAACTGATCATCTGGAGCACTCTGATCAGTTTTACAGAATGCCATAAATTGAAACAAAAATTGGATTCAAATAGAAATTGATTGAAAACAATATCCCTTGTAAAGCGGTATTGAACCCAAAAGCAAACATTTATTATATTGCAGCTTACAATTTCTTAAATGTGATGGCTGCATAAATTTTTTGTTTTTAGGCTTGCTTATATTCTGTTATCTGGTGATCTAGCCAGTAGATCTGTTGTTTTTCTAAAGAACAAGCTGTCCAGTAGAATGTATCAGAGATGAGACAAACCATTTAAAAACTAGCAAGAGTGCTTACGAAGATCAGCTTTTATTTATGTATTTAAAACCTTTATCCCAAAAGGGAAAAAAAAAACTATAGGCAGTTACAGCAAACAAAGTATTAGCTGGGCTTTGGCTTCACTTTGGTAGTCTATTTAAATTTGCTAGTACATCTAAGACTCCTCTCCTCCTAGGCTGAAAATGCTGCTGTCCAAAGGTGCGCCCTGTGCTCATTAATCCAGAGTGGGGTCACTCTAATACAGGAGGTGTGGTGAGAGAGGTTTTGGTAATGCGTTCACTTTGGGGAAAATTTATTAAAACTGAAGCATGCAAAATCCAGTGCAGCTCTGCATAGAAGCCAATCAGCTTCCAGGTTTTATTATCAAAGCATAATTGAACATGCTGAAGTTAGAAGCTGATTGGTTACCATGCACAGCTGCACCAGATTCTGAGTGCTCCAGTTTTAGTAAATCTCCCCCCTTTTATGTGTGAGCAGATAATAAAAAAGCTGAACACTTGGATACACAAATATTGTCTAAATACAATAAATGTGTTCCTCTAAAGAATCTTGGTGTGATTTGTGTATCCCTTCCAGACCTTTGCAGTAATCCAATGTGAAACTTTGTCCGCATAGAAGCTTCCTGTAAAAAAAAAAAGATAGGTCACTGCTAGTCCTGTCTTCGTGTAGGGTCAATGGTCTCGTCTTTACCCCTTTGTGTAGTTTTCTGCAGGCAGCCTGTAGTGGGTGGACTTGTCTCCCTCCCACTGCTCTGCTCTCTGCATAGGTTATATGCAGTAGAGTGATGATTGCAAACCCAGTTATGACCTTGTAAGTAATGGTGGCCTGGCATTTGGTGCGCACAAAGAAGTGGATTTAAATTCTTTGTGTCTACTGGGCATTTTAATGAGTTTTGTGCTCAGAGTTCATCTTTAAACAGCCAGAATTATTACGTGCAAATGTCCTGTATGTTATTTATTCACATTTGTGTCCCAGAAATTTTAGAGCTGAAAACCATTAAGGACATGCAAAATGTTTACAGGAGAGGAAACATTCTGTGGAGTGGATTTGTCTGTATTGCATAGATAATGTTAAGTGCCCTTAAATGAGTATATAGAGATACTATTTGTCATTGCTTAGAGTCTGTGTTACGTCAACCAGTGGCTGACCTAATTTCACCGAAGCCTGGGAAATTCCCTCTACTGGGAATACCAGCCTGCAGGCCATTTACTTGAAGGCCATCATATATCAATGTTAAATAACAACATTTGAGAGAGTTAGAGGTTTGTGTCTATAGTCTACTTATGACGTTGAGATGACACTAAATAAACATAGTCGCTAACTAGCTGCTGTTTATCTCTTACAGTGGATGGAACTGAGATTTAACACGTTGGCAAAGTGCCCACATTGCAAGAAAATGTGAGTATCTGATATTTGGGATTAGAGAACTCCAGGCAAATATCTTAAAACAACTTTTATTTCACTTAAGTATTCCTTTTGAAATTCATAATCTCATTTTTAATTCAAATGTTCTAATTACCAAAAGTATGTCTTTACACTGAGAAGATACACATGAAGCTGCAGACTAAGATTAAAAAGATATGTGAAGGAGATGCCTTCGAATAGCCTTGGAACAATGCATTCTGACTCCCGGATCCTGACACAGGGAAGATAAATGTGCAAACAAGGGGTTACACTTACAAATGTGAGGGTTGAATGGATGGTTCGTATTGGGGTTTGATTTAAAGAGAGGGTCATAAGAATAAAGGTTGCAAGGATGGGTAATATTAGGGCCATGGGTAGGGTTGTGTTTACAGGGATGATCAGTGTGAGGGTTGGAGCTACAAGAAGGGTTCGTGTTAGGGTGACAGCGAGAGTTAATGTTAGGCCTAGGGTTACAGGGATGGTCAGGGTGAGCATTGGAGTTACAGAAATTGATGGTGGGAGAGGGGCTTTAGGGTAGGACATTGCTCTCTTTACTGTAAGTATGTGACAAGAACTAGCAGCTCTGAAAGCTTGTCTACAGAAACTGCATTACAGGATAAAGATAGCTCGTAAGGCACATTACTTCAAAGAAAAGTAGGTTTTTTTTTGCCCAGTTATACTTACCTAGGTGGATGCAGCATTGGTTTGATGCTGCATCTGTCCCCCGCCAGCTCTAAGGGTGAGAACTCAGCAATCGCATGATTGCTGAGTTCTCACAGCCACTCTGGGCAGAGAGCGGTGACTGTTAGTCACCGCTGTCTGCTCTGCCTCCCCAGCGCTCACTGGAGCACTGGGCTGTGGAGGGGGAGGGAGAAACTGGATCTGGCTCTCAGCGGCTCGCTGAGAGGCTGAGTCAGGTGCCTATCCAGACTCTGGGGTGTATCCTAACTATAAAGTCGGGATTGTCAGCCCACTGTCAGCTGAAAATAGGTTACAGGTGTGCACAATGAACTACACTCCTGTGGTCCACAGCAGAGGTACAACCAATAGAGCTTTGGCTGTACTTCTCCTTTTAAAAGTGGACTAACATTCCAAATGGCAAGCAGGAGGAGGGCCAGTCACAATGCTTTCTAGCCATGTATTACAGCGGGGTTCGGTGGACCATATGGGCATTGCTTGAAATCCAAGAATTTGTTAGGCGATTCTGCCCAACTATATTTTGGGTGGTATTGACTTGTATGACAGCTAAAATGTAACATGGGCTTCAATCCTGGAAAGCATTCACACAGACTTGGTAAAATTTCTTTCCAGATAATCTCAACCAGACATTTTCCCCTTCTTTGAGGAAACCATAGCTCAGAGCAGAGAATTTTCCCCTGTACACATTCCATTAGAAAAGCCCAGTCACAATGTAGTCATGTGAGTATTCATACCATTAAATGATCACATAGTGGATATAGACGTACGTCATGTGTTTTCCCTAATCTTCCTGCTAATGTAGGCCAGGCATGCTGAAATCCCACTCTGAGGAATGTATTTTATAGAACAAATTGTGCAGAGCTGTAAATTTAATTTTAACACACAAGGGATAATATTTATTATTTTAGGTGAAAGTACTATTTTACTGAAAGAGTAGCTGATGCTTGGAATAAAATTCCAGCAGAGGTAGTAAGTCAACATTAAATAGCTTCAAATGTGTGGGACAAGCATAGAGCTATACTCAGACAAAAACATTAACCAAAAAAAAGAAAACATAAAAAGGCCTGAAATGACATAAACGTGTATGTGTGTGGGTAGGACCGGCAGTAGTAACACTCTGTTTCAAATAACAAAACTTGTATTGAAGGAACGCCCCACAGATGGAAACAGCCCAGTGGAAAGGTCCCAGCCTTTACAGTTCTGTGTAAACTTGCAGATTGGAGCAGGTTCTGATGCACCCACAGCATCTGTCTCCGAAGGTGGAATGTGGCCTGGCTGGTCTGAGCCCAATGGGGGGGGGGGGGGGGGGGGGGAATTATGCTGCAGGATAGTGTGTCCCTAGCCTGTCCCTACTTGCCCAGAACCTTTCCCTACTGCTAGTTCACTCTCCCTGACAGACATGTGAACTGTCCCTATGCTATCCACTCACACAAATGCACAGCAAAGCCTGGGACAGGCACTTAAAAAGGCTCTGCTGACCTAAGATGGGCAGTCACCTGATGCAATGTAGCCAACTGGAACGCTGCCTAGGGGACCAAGGAAACCATAGAGAAACCAAATTTCTTTGAATTCCATTCCAGCTGCAGCACTGCTCCGGCAGAGTGCTACTTACAGTGTAGAACCTCCCATCCCATCTTTGACAGATGCTGTCCTCGCTATTGCAATACAGTAATAACAACATGAAAACTGAAAAGGCATAGTGAACAGTTCAAACAACATAGTCTAGGTATCTTGCAAGAAGATTCACATAGTCATCAGTAGAGTCACATAGCAAGGGTTCATCTTCTGGATGTGACCCTGGAGCCACAGGTGGTAGGGGTTTCTTGCAATCTCCATACCCTCATCACCTGGGCTCAATAGTGTGTCTCCAGACACATCAGAACGGTCTGTTGTACTGGAAGGAGTTGCCAGATTTTTCATAGCCCCAGTGTCAGAGTTCTCTGTTTCTGAGTTGTCGGAGGTTGGGAGATGGAGAGGAGGATGGTACCATGCATGGGAGGCATAGGTGGAAGATCCACAGGAACAAACACCTCCTGATCACCAGCAGGCATGTTGGAGCAGTCCCCACTCATCTTGAAGGGCCTCATGTTACAGTGAAGACACCTCTTCACAGGATTGGGTCCCTGGGAGACCGCGTCCTATACTGGTGTAGGTGGGAAGTCTTGCCCCTTCCATCTGATATGGGGTACAGGCAGACTAACACAGTCTAAAAGCTGACGTCTCCTGGGCATTTCTCCTTTAGGCATTGGAATTATTATTATTATACAGGATTTATATAGCGCCAACAGTTTGCTCAGCGCTTTACAATATAAAGGGAGACCATACAGCAACTATATAGTTAAATACAAGAGTGTTAGGACAGCAACTATATAGTTTAATACAACCAGAGTGTTAGGAGGACCCTGCTCCTTGGAGCTTACAATCTATTAGGGAGGGGCTGGTGGAACAAAAGGTAATACCGGTTGGTGATAAACTGAGGAACAGAAGATTCTGTTATTAGTTGAAGGCAGGATAGGCTTCCCTGAAGAGAGAGGTTTTCCGGGATCGCCTAAAAGTGGGCAAAGTAGACAATAGTTGGATTGATTGGGGTAGAGTGTTCTAGAAGATAGGGGAGACTCTGGAGAAGTCCTGCAGATGAGCATGGAGGGAGGAGACAAGGGAGCTAGAGAGCAGTAGGTCGTGGGATGAGCGGAGAGGACGGTTTGGGTGATATTTGGAGACAAGATTGGTGATGTAATTTGAGGCAGAGTTAAAAATGGCTTTATATGTTATTGTTAATGTCTTGAATTTTATTCATTGGGTAAAGGGAAGCCAGTGGAGGGATTGGCAGAGAGGGATGGCAGATATGGAATGGTTAGTAAGGTGGATGAGTCTGGCAGCAGCATTCATGGTAGATTGAAGAGGGGATAGCCTGTGATTAGGTAGGCCAATGAGGAGGAAGTTACAATAGTCAAGGCGAGAGATAACAAGGGAGTGAATAAGTTGCAGAATAGTTTTAGAGGTTAATAATGGGAGTATCTTGATGATGTTGCGGAGGTGAAGTCTATAAGATTTGGACAGTGACTGGTTTTGGGGCTGAAAGGACAGATGGTAGTCCAGGATTACACCTAGTACCCTGGCATGAGGGGATGGACTGATGGTTGTATTATTGATCTTGATGGAGAAGTCAGGGGAGGGGGCACGGGCTGGAGGGAATAGTATGAGCTCTGAAAGATTTAGTTTAGATTAAGTGGAGTGACATCCATGCCGATATGTCACTTAGTAGGTTAGTAATGCGAGAGGAGACTGAAGGGGTGAGGTGAGGATTAGAAAGATAGATTTGTGTGTCATCAGCATAAAGATGGTACTTAAAGCCATGGGAGTTTATCAAGCGACCAAGGGAGGAGGTGTAGATGTAGAAGAGAAGGGGTCCAAGGACAGAACCTTGAGGGACCCCTACAGAAAGAGGAAATGGAGAGGAGGAGACTGGTAATGCTGATGGAGCGCTGCGATAGGTAGGAGGAGAACCAGGAGAGAGCAGAGTCTCGGAGGCCAAGAGAGTAGAATTTTTTGAGGAGGGGATGGTCCAGTATCAAAAGCCGCAGAAAGGTCAAGTAGTAAGAGTAAGGAGTTTTGGCCATTGGTTTTTAGCAGTTAGTAAATCATTAGTGAGTTTTAGTAGGGCAGTTTTAGTGGAGTGTAGTGAGTGAAAGCCAGACTGTAAAGGGTCAAGAAGGTTGTTGTCAGTGAGGTAGGAGCTCAGGCGAGTGTAGACCTAAGCGTTCTAAGAGTTTTTAGAGGTAAACGGGAGCAGGGAGATGGGTCTTAAGTTGTTCAGGTTGGTGGGGTCCAGCGAGGGCTTTTTAAGTATGGGAGTGATTTGTGCATGCTTTAGAGGGGTGGGGAAGGTACCATTCGAGAGCGAGAGATTGAAGATGTGAGGGAGCATAGGACAGAAAAAGAGGGTGACCATAGTAGTTGCGAGGGGACAGGATCCAGGGGGCACGCGGTGAGACGCGCTTCTGAGAAAACATTAGTGACCTCTTCAGTAGTAGCAAGGTCAAAAGAGGAAATTGTTGAGGGAGGTTTAGTATAAGGTATGCTAAGTGGGTTAGATTTTTTGTGTAGCGGAGATGCCCCTACAAATTGCATCAATATTGTTTTTGAATTGATCTGCAATCTCGTAAGTAGTGAGTGAGTTACTTGGTGGAGATGGAGAAAGTAGAGAGTTAAAAGTAGAGCACAGATGACGAGTACTGGATGACAAGATATTAATAAGAGTGACAAAGTAGGCTTGTTTGGCAGCAGGGAGGGAG